CAATGTATTAATTTCAACTCTGAACGCTATGAAAAGTCCAGTACAGAATGACTCTTTATCTTACCTGTTTGTTATTGTTGTTTGTTGAAAGTTATGTTTGGAATGTTATAGTGTATTGAAAATAATAAAATTTTATTAAAAAAAAAACATTCCTCTACAAGTTAATTGTGCCACATAGTTTCCATGCTTTCAAGAATATTAGTTCCAACTGTTCCCATCATCCATAGATGGTTTCAGACCCAGAAACTGAGAAAATATTGGTGCATTATTCCACTTCACACCTTCTACCTACCTTTTTTTGATCCTCACTGCTTTACTAAACCCATAAACAGGCCAGCTTCCATTTCAGAAATCAACCAACCTCAAACTCTCTCTGGGACTTAGAATCCCAGCATCTGTAATATGCCCTTACTGTAAGGTTGCCAGGTCCTTCCAAGCAGCCAGCAGGGGATGAGAGTGCGTTTACAGGGAGTAGGGAGCATTTCAGCCCAGCATTTCAGCGATGGGAGGGATTTGTCTTAACAGCAGCACATGTGAAAGGGATCTGGGTGTTCTGGTTGATCACAAGCTAAACATGAGCCTGCACTACGATGTGGCTGTGAAGAAAGCTAATGCAATCTTAGGATGCATTAACAGAAGCACTGTGTCCAGATCATGGGAGGTGGTAGTTCCGCTCTATTCTGCTATGGTCAGGCCTCACCTGGAATACTATGTCCAGTTTTGTGCACCACATTTTAGGAAGGATGTTGACAAGCTCGGGCGTGTCCAGAAGAGGGCAACCAGGATGGTGAGAGGATTGGAATCCAAGTCTTATGAGGAAAGGCTGAAAGAGTTGGGTATGTTTAGCCTGGGAAAGAGAAGGCTTAGAGGGGTCTTCAAATATCTGAAGGGCTGTCATGTAGAAGATGGAGCAGATCTATTCTCTCTTGCTCCAGATAGCAAGACTAGATCTAGTGGGTGGAAATTACAAGGGAGTTGTTACCGGCTAAATATCAGAAAAAACTTCCTAACTGTAAGAGTGGTTGAGCAGTGGAACAGTCTGCCTTGGGAGGTGGTGGATGCTCCTTCGCTGGACATTTTCAAGCGGAGGCTGGATGACCATCTTTCGGGTATGTTGTAGGGCTATTTTTCAGCTATGCTCCTGCAGAGTGCAGGGGGTTGGACTAGATGACCTTCAAGGTCCCTTCCAACCCTAACATTCTATGATTCTATGATGTTCCTGTGTGACCCAGAAGTGATGTAGACATGTTGGGGATGTGGGGGAGTGACGCTTTGGTTTTGGGGCAAAACTCAATGGTAGAATTAACTTGGGGTCATGGTAAGCACATTGCTGAGATGCCGGGTGCCCCCCCCACCGCCAGCCACTGGCCAGCAGCAGAGAGGTGGGGCCTGGCAGCGGGGGATCTGGCATCCCTGTCTCACTAGCATTTACAAACCTTGCTTCTTGTCCTGATGAATAATGTTGATTGATTGGTTGATGTCACCAAGGGATGATCTTCTTTCTTTCATTTCCAGATATATTTCCCTATTAAAAAGTAAAGCTAGGGCAACTGCAAGGGAGATTTTCAAGTTGAGCTTCAGGTCTACAGTTGACTAGCTATTATGGGTCTTTGTGTTTAGAACCTTCTGTTATTATGGGATGGAGCAAGACTCCAGCCTTAGACATTCATGGTCTTTTCAGCTTCTCAGTGTTTTTAAACAATAAACAATCTGACATGAATTCACAATTAAAATGAATAGGAGGTTATTGTCTAAAAATACCAAAAAAAGTGGTAAATAAAAATGTATCACCGGTGCCCCATGGGAGAATGGGGGAGTTTGAACCAGAAAATAAGGCTTGTTAGTGGAACCTTGAAAGGGTAGGCCACTGTTTTGTTATGAACGAGATCACAGATGAGGACAAATCAAAGGCAGTCACAACCTTACTTGGTGTCTGTGGTTGTTAAACATATTCCCTCATCAAAAATTGGCTGGAATCTCAGAAGTCAAGATATGAAAGTTCAGTGGATATGCAGAAAAAAATTACATATAACATTAATGTGATTCTGCAATGTCTTAAAGTCTATAGTATGATGGAAAGAGGAATCCATATCTAGTTAGGGTTGTGCATGGTAACTTGTTTTGTTCCTTTCATTTTTTGTCATTCATTCCAAAAGGGGATGTTTCGTCATTGCGCTTCATGTTGTTTTGATTCATTATTGTTTTATTTGTTATTGTTGTTGATCATTGATTTCAGTGAAAGACCACCCCTCCTGTACCTCCCTGATTTCCCATCCAGACTGGACAAACCACAGGGAGATTGTAGCACTTCCCTAATATTTACTTTCAAAGTTCAGACAGATAGGACAAAAAGGTGTCCTCTTGAGGCAACGAAAGGTACCCATGTTTAAAATTAAAGTCTCTGGGAAATTTTGATAGGAAAGACTCCAAACTCACAGTAACACATATAGCAGCAGTGAAGGGATATGGCACTTCGCTTAAGGACAGCACTACAAGGAAAAGGCAGACTTAGGAGGCAAGGGCATTTGATTACACAAGGAGGTAGAGGTATTGGGCAGGCAGGGCTGGAAGGAGCAGGGGGGCTCTGGGGTAGATTTGCTTGGAAAATCAAGATTTGGCGAGCAACAGGCAAGCTGGGGAGCACAAAATGCATAGCAAAATTTGGCACAGCAAGACAGACATTGGAAAGGGAGAAGAAAGCAAAGTCCTACCCCATACCTTTCTGGCCTGGAATATCTCACATGTGTCTTTAATCCTAATAGCTACACCGTGCAATCAGTTAAGAACCTCCAGATCCTCTCTCTCCTTCTCTCTCTTTCTCCCAATAAGCAATGCAACTTATTAAGAAAAAAAAACCCTGGCTGTCTTATAAAAGTAAAAACAGTAGATTCAGAGAATGGCAAGACTGCAATAATGAGAATAGAACAAAACAAAAATCAAGTTTTTAATTATAGGCTCCTTAGCTGGAGAATTTGTTTTGTTTTCATATTAATTACAATAATGAATTACATAAAATGTAATTTTTTGTAATTTTTGTAATTAAGTTATTGTAATTATTGTAATTTAGTTAATTCCATTATTTTGAAAATGTATTAAGGTTTGTTGATTAATCAATTAAAGCTAATCTATGAGGGGAGCGGTGGCACAGAGGATTTATCCTCTGGTTAGTAACATCTGAGTTGAACAGTACAGCTGTCAGTTCTAACCCCGTGTTGGTGTGAGCTACCAGCCTTGTCCCTAGCTCGCCATCCACCCAGCCGTTCGAAAGCTTCGGTGAGTAGATAAAATGGGTACTACTCCTTAGAGAGGGTGGG